AAAAATTGTTGACGAGAGTCCAGAATTCACTTTATTGCCGTGCATTAAGGTGAAGATTTAGCTCATCATCCAAAAACTGCCGAGCAGGTTCGGTGCATTCAACTGAAACATGACTTTTGCAGTTGCGTTTAATTTTGGGTGTCAATGACGCAAGGCGGCCATGTTGTGACGAGGATATTGCCAATCGTGCCCTGCAGTATTTTCAAACTCTCCCACATAGTTTCGAACGCATTGAGCAGTGGATTGAGCAGCTTGCTGAAAAGGTGTGTTTCTCTCAGTCCATCAAAGAAATGTTGTAATATGCTACGATACAAATTTATCTATTAAGGAGGATATGTATGAAATGCTTTGCGTTACTTTAATGAAATCCGGGCAGAATTAATGCTGTATCGAACGGGGGACGGATGAGGGTTTGCGCGGCCGTAAGGGAGAGGGGGGGGGGGCGCTGCTGTGGGACTGCAACGGGCACTTACCCAAACCAATAATCAATGCTTTATTTAAAAAAAAAAATAAAAATACACAGAAACAAAAATCAGCGGAACTCAGCGCGAAATCCGGCAGCAGCTCCAAGTTGTCACCGTACAACTAGGGCAGGAGCGGGGAAGAAAAGCGGTAGCAGCTCCAAGCTGCGTCGCAGAATTATCTTACACACAAAGACAATTCCATCATTACATAAAACCCATCAAACAATCCCGCCATTTCTAATCACATCATTACATATCACTGGGAAGTTAAGGAAACTTGAGTCAGGAGACAAGAAATTTGCATACCACATGGAATTGAAGGGCAACTGGGATTTAGCCGATAGCTTCGTTTCCTTGCTATTAACACCTTGCTTTTTTTCCCAACATGCACTAATTTGCAACGCTTTTGGAGGAGAGGTCACTGGGCAAGGCTACTGATTGCTTCAACAAAATCCACCACAAACGAGCAAGAACGGCATCCTTTGGTAGATCATTTCAGGATGTCTAGAATCAATAGCCTCATTTCAAGATGTCTAGAAAATCGCCCAAAATATCTTCGTCAGAGCTGCAATTTCGCTAAAATAAATACATGTTAAACGCAATACGTCACATATGGACATTCTTCATAGACTGTAGGAAATTAATGCAAAATGTTTATTTTCTTAATTGCTGTGCATTTGAAAAGATCAAAATTAATTTTCAGACTCATATGTTATACGTGGGAGCAGATGAGATGCTTCAGGATTGCTCCGAAATGGATGATCACAGTACGGTTGGCGCATCTGATATAATCCAGGATTATAAGCGTACGGGTGGTTTTCTGCCACGTACATATAGTGGAAGGTAAAGACTTCAGTGCTTTTGTTCACTTTATAAATCACGGATTGCTTATTTCTCTTTATTAATAGCCCCACAAGCAAAAACACCGGCACCAGTAGTCCCACAACAGTGATTTACAGATAAGGGATAAAACACAGGCTGCATTCAAGCATTTCTTCGTGCACGTGATACTTAGACTGATCCCTTGTCTCCAGCTCTGTGATTTTCTCTGGCTTAAAAATTGTCATGATATTAGTTCTTTGCTGTTAATGTTTTTTTTTTTTGGCTGTTGATTTTGCCCGAAAATTAGATGTTAGTACTGCTAATTGCGATTATGGATAAGTTAATATCTCGGGAACCACGGAGTCTAGGAGGCTGAAATTTTAGGGTAATGATCCCCTACCCACGCTCAACCTTGCCCATTCAAATTCAACGTTCCTGCGCTCTTGAATGTCACATATGGCCTCAAAAAAAAGAAAGAAGACTACCGAAGCGTAGATAGAAATCTACAGCAGTTTACATTATCAGTTATTTGCACCGCAAGTAATTAAATACAAAAATACTTACACTGATAAATCTTTATCACAATGGAAAGGCCTTCCATTGCAAGAGATTACAACTTTTTTGCACGGTTAGTGAAAAGAAGGAGGTTTTGGCAAGAGAAAAGTGATTTTACTGTTAAATGGGCTCAGAAGTAAGCGAAAATGAGAGATATACCGAATTAGGATGCGTTAGTACTGGGAATGTCGATCTTAATTTTTGTAATAATCTGTGTCCACTTTACTCTTCAAAAAAAAAAAGAAAAATGAGCAAAATACGTGCTTATTTGTGTAATGGCAAAGCCTTCGCCTTGCCTTCCCACCCCTCCAACCGAAATTATAAAAGATAAAATAAAAAGCTAAATCATCTCTCGATGGCACTTCAGTTAAACGTCGGGAAGCGACGTTCCCATCGGAGATTGGATATACTGATAATCTTGTAATGGCTATCATACATTACAATCCCCGATACGCTTTCATCCAGGATTGCAAAATGGGCGCCGTGGGAAGTGGGAATGGATTATGCCGTCGTAGATTCAATCTACGATAGGGAAGTTGGCGAAGAAAAAGGGGGGACTGGGAACGGAGAGTTGGACCCCTGTCGGAGTTCCGATCTTCGACGGGAATGTCGCTTCCCAACGTTCATTTGGAATTTCATGGAAAGATGGCTCAGTTTTTTATCTTTTTGTTATGTTTTATAATTGCTGTTGGGGTATGGGGAAGCAAAACGAAGGCTTTGCCTTTACATTTGGATTAGTTGTAAATTCATAGTACTTTTTATAGTCTGTTCATCCAAATGATGCGGCGAGCAACTTTTGATTGTTTTGGGCGGTGCTTGCTGCATCTTTTGGCGGCCAGCTTTTTGACGATCCTGTTGTTTGCCTGGTTTTCGGAAAGGTTTGCTGGGAACGGGTCGTAGTGTTGGAACGTACAATTTGTACAGGGCAAAATTGGGGTCTTTCGATTTTCACTCATTATGAGAGATTAAGATATTCGAGAGATGTTCAACAAATAGAAATTCGTCATTTGCGCAAGTTAAAGTTTTCCTTTAGAAGAATACTGAAGGCACTTTCTCTGGTTATTATTTGACGTGACAATAGCTTTTCAATCTGCTGAATCGCAGAGGAGTTCGCTTCAAGCATGGCAGTGGGCATCAGCGGTTATCGTGATACTACTTCTCAAAACATCATTTAACAATAACGCTTCCTTTTTTTTTGT